TGGATCCCTCGATCTCTTTGCGCTCCCATTCATTGGATGTGTTGCTGAACTTATAGACCGCGCACTGACCGCATGTCATGACAATCTGGTCGATGGTTGGATCCATTTGCTTGAGAGACCGCAAGTTCATCAGATTCTCGTCACACTTGTCTGCCATGGCTTGCAATGCAGTCATATGTCTTGGGATGCAATCAATTGATCAATTGGTGGTCAACTGTCACACCAGAGACCAAATGTGCAGTGTTTACGGCTAACAATGAATTCAATGGCAATTCTCACATCAATCACGTCAACTCCACTCAACCGCAACCGTTTGCAATCATTTTGTATCATGATCATTTAACATTATCATACTGTACTGTACTAGGTTCAATTTTAGATGATATTCTAAGATTGTATAGAGATATGGTTACAAAATGATTGGACACAGTAATTGGTGACCATTTCTATGATTGACATATGAAGTGAACATTGAATGTAAGAATTGATGGCATACTGTCACTCAATGTTAAGAATATTTTTGCAAGAGATCAATGAATTTTGTATAAGTGTATGAAATATAATAATTGACATTTCCTAATTCTCATTCACACTATTATTACTGTATTAGCAAATTATTCTCTCATTCACTTAACACGACATATTCATATTTCAAATAAAAGTTTCACCAAAGGTTGCATAACTGTATGGGAATGTTGAGGTGATTGTGTAAAAGTAGGGTAAAGTACAGTTAGAATAGGATATTCTTACAGAAGTACAGGAATACAGACTTCAGTGCTGTTCAAGAGTTCAATTGAGTGCTTGTGTTGAGTGCATACACTATTGCATGACATTGTGTTTGGTCAACAATTGACTGTTAATTGCAATTTGTGCAACTGTTAGACTGTACGCACAATTAGTTCACAAATATTTTGCCATTTAAGTGAACCCTTTACTGCATTCATTGCTATCTTATCTAATCTCTGTCACCAACACTATAATCCATTGATTAACAGTGAACACAAAAGGACATAACAGTAAATTGTCAAATATCACATCATATGATCCATGTATTGATATTATCTGTTAGTTACCATTGAGTGGTCACTCACTGTATGTCTCATGAATCTATAAATCTCTGCTATAATTTTGTTTTGTTTTGTATACCCATTGAATGAATAGTCATTAGATTTGATTTTCGCGACAATTGTCTGAGAAATGTCGAAACGGATTGAAGTGAAAGTGGTTGTGTTGGGCCCTCAGGGTTGGCATCAACTCATCCCATCACATGTCTCACCAAATGTTCACTCATTTATCTCTTATGTGACCAATAGGTGTAGGAAAGACATCGCTGTCTATGGTATATACGGGCAAAAAGTTTAGTCGAAGTCTTTCGCCGACAATCGGTTCTTCATATTTTCCATTCGAGATGACAATCAAAGACATATCAGTGGTGTTGGAGATCTGGGACACCGCCGGACAGGAGAGGTTCAGGTCTATGGCTCCGCTATACTATCGCAACGCAAAGGCAGCTCTCGTTGTCTTTGATATCACTTGTTATGAGTCATTCAAATCACTCAAAGAGTGGGTCAGAGGTTTGCATTCAATGTCTTCAGGCTTACCACACAATCATTTGAGTGATTAATTGATTGATTTCTACAGAACTGTTGCGAAATACAGACAACTCTATAATAGTGTGTATTGTCGGCAATAAACTGGATTTGAATGCCGAGCGTCAGGTGTCGACCACTGAGGCCGAGGCCTATGCCCTCACCATTAATGCCGATTACTTCGAGACTTCGGCCAAAACCCACTCCGGAATCAATGAAGTCTTCTCTTGTATTGCAAACAAAATCACTCGAATCGGTGATAATAAATGCCAAACATTTGGTTTTGGCGATAGTCTCGACAATAGCTTTACTACTGATGGACCCAATGGTCACAAAACAGATCTCAAAGAAGTCACAAATGAAAGATCTTATAGTTGTTGTAAGGATTAGTTGCCAACGAATGAGATATTTGTTACTATTTTAATGATTGAATTGACAACTATTTTCATACTTAACACTGAACTCAATATTTTATAGTTAATATATTTTGTAAAATATATTTTTATGACCAATATTTTATGATTATTAAAAATTAATAATTAATATTTTGAGCATTTTATCCATTCATTTAATGATTACTAGGGTAAATAATTAAATCAATAGTGTATAACACATTTACTAATTGTAATTAATAAAATTAATTCTTTTGAGTAAAGTTTTCACTGAATTTATATTAAATTAAATTTAAGTTAAAGTTTGAGTGAATGTTGAATTTGGCGCTCATTTACGTCAACAAATGACGGCATTTGTGGCGAAAACAATGTTTGCAAACGAATTTGATTTGAGAGTGAATTGCATTGAATTGAATGAAAGAGTCATTTATTAGACATTCAGTGAATCAGTGAATGAGTGGCAGAGATGTCAGAGAGAGACTCATTAGTGAAGGACTCGTTGCATGAGTTGATTGGATTCGTGGACAAGTCGACCGTCAGGTTTGTCAACCATCTGATCGACAAGTCGGCCGACATCGAAGAGTTCAAGACTAAAGTGAAGAATGCTTTGGGAACCGATGATCACCAAAAGGTGGACAACTTCTCGCACGAGTTGTGGAGTCAGTTGAGGCCTAATAGGAGTCAAACGAAACGCAGACTTAAGACTAAAACCATCGAAGAAGTAGAGGAAAGGGTTGATTTGACGCCACACGAGACAAATGCCTCGCAAAAGAGTGGTTCCAAAGGGACAGACAGTTCGCGGAGAGGCTATGAAAGCGACGAATCGATGGATTCTTCGGAAGAGGAAAGGGTTCGCGATTTGAAAGAAAGGGACGAATTCTCCGAAAGACTTAAACTCAAGGATAAGAATAAGACGCGAAATATCGCCACAAATAATGACAAGAAGTCGTACGAAGAGGCGGCCAAACGGCTGAAACTGGAGGCCGAAGACCGCAAGAAAATTGTGCCCAAACTGAGGGTTGAGTCGAGACGACTGTATTTGGAAAAGAGAAAAGAAGACAAATTAGCTCTTCTTGAGGGAGACATCGCTGACGAGGAATATCTGTTTAATGACGTGAATCTGACGGAGAAAGAGAAGGCAGGACTCGAGTACCGGAAGAAAGTGTTGCATTTGGCGCGAGAGCACGACAGGGCCCGCGATCTCGAGAAAGTGCAGAGATATCACATCCCCAGCGAAGACAAGGACAGTGAGTACGTGGAAGTGGACGACACGGAAAGGGCGCCGAACGCCGAGCAGAAGAAGTGGGAGGAAGAGAGACTCGGAATCGCGAGACTCCGGTTCGGCGCCAAAGACGCCAATCGAAAGGCGAGGAAGGAATACGAGTTAGTAATGGACGCAGAGATTGAATTCGTGCAGTCGTTGACCATCGATGGCAACCACTTTGAAGAGGAAGACGAAGAGAAGGACGAGAAGAAGACAAAGCGACAAACCCTTGATGAGACGAGACGTTCGCTCCCTATATATCCGTTTAAGGAAGAGCTGATTGAAGCGATTAGAGAGCATCAGGTGCTCATCATTGAGGGCGAGACCGGCTCTGGAAAGACCACTCAAATCCCGCAATACTTACATGAGTCGGGCTTTTGTAATGACAACAAAAAGGTCGGTTGTACTCAACCGCGTCGAGTGGCGGCCATGAGTGTGGCGGCGCGGGTGGCCGAGGAGATGGGCGTCAAACTGGGCAATGAAGTCGGTTACAGCATTCGGTTCGAGGACTGCACGAGTGAGCGAACTGTCCTTAAATACATGACCGACGGAATGCTTTTAAGGGAATTCCTGTCCGAACCGGACTTGTCTTCGTATTCGGTTATCATTGTAGACGAAGCGCACGAACGGACACTCCATACGGATGTGCTCTTCGGACTCGTCAAAGATATCGCCCGCTTTAGGCCTGACCTCAAGCTCTTAATCTCTTCGGCGACACTCGACGCACAAAAGTTCAGTGAGTTCTTCGACGACGCGCCTGTGTTTCGTATACCCGGCCGTCGATTTCCTGTCGACATATACTACACGAAAGCACCGGAAGCCGATTACATAGAAGCCTGTGTTGTGACTATTCTTCAGATCCATGTGACCCAACCTTTAGGTGATGTTCTGGTGTTCCTTCCGGGACAGGAAGAGATAGAACAGACTCAGGAAATACTTCAGGAAAGACAACGCAAATTAGGCTCTCGAATACGTGAACTCCTCATAAGACCCATTTACTCCAACCTACCCACTGATATGCAGGCACAGGTGTTTGAGCCCACGCCCCCTAACGCCCGCAAAGTAGTGCTCGCAACCAATATCGCCGAGACATCCCTTACCATTGATAACATTCTGTTTGTAATAGACCCGGGATATTGTAAACAAAATAGTTTTAATCCGCGCACAGGAATGGAGTCTCTAATAGTAGTTCCCATTTCTAAAGCCAGTGCTAATCAAAGGGCTGGTCGTTCCGGTCGAGTGGCGGCGGGAAAGTGTTTCCGACTGTTCACTGCGTGGGCGTATCAGCACGAACTCGAAGACAATACCATTCCTGAGATACAAAGAGTTCATTTGGGAAATGTTGTCCTCACTCTCAAGAGTTTAGGCATTAATGATATCTTGCACTTTGACTTCTTAGACCCTCCGCCTCACGAGACACTCGTCTTAGCGTTGGAACAGTTGTACGCTTTGGGAGCACTCAACCATTTGGGTGAACTCACTCGACTCGGCCGACGAATGGCTGAGTTTCCCGTCGATCCCATGATGTCTAAGACATTGATTGCTTCTGAGAAGTATGGCTGCAGTGAAGAGATTGTGACCATATCTGCGATGTTGAGTGTGAACGCATCGGTATTCTATAGACCCAAAGATAAGGCCATTCACGCGGACACCGCCAGAAAGAACTTCTTCCAGATGGGCGGCGATCACCTGATGCTCGTCAACGTCTACAACCAATGGGCGGAATCCGGTTATTCGCGGCAGTGGTGTCTCGAGAACTTTATTCAGTACCGATCCATGTGTAGGGCCCGGGATGTCAGGGACCAGTTGGAGGGACTCATGGAAAGAGTGGAAATAGAGCTCAAGTCGTGCGATAGCGACAACATTGTCATCAGGAAAGCTATCACTTCTGGCTATTTCTACCACACGGCCAGAATCTCGAGGACTGGCGGACAATACAAGACAGTGAAGGGTCAGCAGACGGTTCTCATTCATCCCAACTCTTCCCTGTTTGAGGAGAAGCCGCGTTGGCTTCTGTACCACGAATTGGTTCTCACGACCAAAGAATATATGCGACAAACCATTGAAATCGAGTCCCAATGGCTTCTGGAAGTGGCGCCGCATTACTATAAGGACAGAGAGCTCGAGGACTCAACCAATAAGAAAATGCCAAAACAATTGGGAAAATCTAATAATGACTTGAATAGAGTTTATCCGAAGTTATAGTTTTGTTTTGTAGATAAAGCTCTATATTATACGATAGTTTGACCGCAAATCATCAAATCAATTATTTATCATTTTTTGATAAAACATATTTTCATGTAACTTGTCATTACTGTTAATATGAAAACATTATTAATTTCGTAAAGTTTTAAATAATTAATGTGTTGTTAAGTAAATGTTTATTATTTACACAATATTGTAATATTTTGCATAAATTAAAAATCCATTGAAATAGAAATTGTATTATAAAATGCAATCATATACAGTACTATACAGTACTGTATTTCAAGTAATTACAGTATTTTTGAAATTTCAAAAGTATTGCCACTTTTGACAGTCTGTTTGTCACGTGACTTCACGTCTGTTTTGTTTACAGTCTGTGAACTGGACTTTAATATTGGTTTCAAAACACATTTCTTTTGTCTTCAGTTCATATGAATTTGATATTTTAATTGTCAAACCAATTGTCCACTCGTTTCAAGACATTGCCATCGAGTTCTTGGCATTGATTCACAAGTGATTCACGATTGTCTCGCAAAACAGCGACCAATTGAGTGATCGACACAATGGCCCACAAAAGTAAGATCAAGAGGAAGAGTTACGCCGACTTCGGACTCAAACCTCAAGAGGACGTGAAGGTTCGGACAGAAGAGGACACCGATTATAAGCCGTCGCCGAAGAAGAAGAAGAGTTATTTCGGACAAACTTCGACCCAAATAGACGACAACGACGTGAAGCCGTCGGCGGCCAAAGACAATAATATCGGACGACTTCTGATGAGTAAAATGGGTTACAAAGACGGACAGGGATTAGGGAAAGACAGTCAGGGAAACGTCGATGTGATCCAAGAGTCCAAACAGAAGGGCCGAAGAGGTCTGGGCTTTGCTTTGACTCAAATACAAATCGATACACTCTTTGAGTGGTCGCCAGAGAAGGAGAAAGAGTTTGTCTCTGTTGTCGAACCAATCAATTGGATCGACGAATGCCAACAACCGTTGCCCACAACTAAAGAAGTGGAAGAATATTACAAA